CAATACAAGTCCAACAATCTCAGGTCACCACCCACCTCACAAATTGATCATGAAGTTCAATCCCAAGAAGAAATCAAAGAGTTGGGTGAACAAGAAGCAAAATTTGCAGAACACAAGTTCTTCTCTAGCCCACAAACCTCATTACCTTCGGCCTCCATCCTCGTCGAATCCAACTTGCTCAAAATCTCAGCTTGGACTGCTCAAAATCGCTTCTAGGTTGAAATCTTGGACTGCTCAAAATCGTGTCCAGGTTGAAATTGGCTCCTCAAGATCCTGACTAAACAGAAATCTGATGTCGTCATGGTTACCGAACATGCTCAGTAAGTCATTGTCGTCAGGCAGATCTAGAACTTGAAACTAAGAGAATCCATCGTCATCTATGAAGATCCATGTGGAAGCTCATTGAATCTTCTTGCATCATGATCGAACACGCTCAGTAAGTTGCCATCGTCAAAGCAGATCTAAAACTGGAAACTAAGAGAACCTGTCATCGTCCATGAAGATCCATGGAAGCTCCTGTGCATCTGTAGCCATAATTGGATTCACAGGAGCAATCGGAGAGGATCCTTTGTTCGGTGGAGGGATTTGAAGGCTTCTTCATCCCCTGTTATTTTACCGCCTTTTCACCTCCGATCTCCAACTCATATCAAGTACCATTGCTAGCTGCCATGTATGCTTCGAGACATTTCACGCGGGCAAAAATTGGTCAACAAACTTGGACAGTTCAGCACTTGACGGTCAACATTTATTAATTTAATGGGAGGATACAAGGCACATGGTTTGTTTTTAAAAGTTTAAGGGATTAATGGAGTCAAAATAAAATACAGGATACTAAATGATCCTGAGGGTATAGTTTAGGTGACAAGATGAACTTTAACCGTTATATTTTTATATCACATTGATAAAGAACCTTTAGCCTGCTTTTGAAATTACCAAATCTTTTAATTCTTATTTATAATTAATTCAATAATGTGGTCCTTTAATGTCATTATCCCTTATTATAATCACATCGAATCAACTATTGTAAGCAAATATATATATATAAAAAAAAGACTACATACGTGGAGGCAGTTTTTGAAGAAATGTATTCAAACCTTTTGTCTCCATCACGAGGAGTGTCGAACAAAGTACATGGGTGTTGAATTTTATTGCAACTCGATTTAACTCTGGTGAAAGTGTAATTAATTAATATGATCAAATATTGATATTATAACTAGAATCCAGTGTAATTAATTGCAGGCACGGATTAAGAAAGGGGTAACACCGTAAAGATAAGTGAGATTCATCGCAGGGTACCAATGATATGTACGGACCTTGTCGCCACAATTAATGTCATTGGCCCGTCTGGCATGTGGGGTCCTCGTTCCTCATTGCACTGCGCATTCATCCAATTAATATATTAATTCCAAATCCATCCAAATGTGCATTGCATTGTCTATTGATTCATTAACATGCCAAAAACCAATACACTCCTTCATGTTTACCATTTTATATTGCACAGCTCATGGATTATACAGCTAAACCCCAATCAATACATTCCTGCTTATGGGACTATGTGAAATGGATCAGCAATACCACTCAGAACACAATGGCTGGGATATCATCAATATCAATATTATTAATATAATAGGAATGTGGGAATATACATGCACATGCACGCACAGTTAGTGGGGGGTGCAGCTTTATGGAAAGTAATTTGCATTGGAGGCGTATGGAAGGAAGGTGTAAGACGGATATGCAGGTGCGTCGGACCAAGATGAAGTTTGGAAGTATGCGTGCGTGGTGCAATGTAAGTCCATCACAGAATAATTTGAGACGTTGAACTTCCACGCTTTCTTAGGACCTAAGGTACACGTAACGTGTCAATGACGCTGGCCCTACTTTGCACATCTTCCATGCGGCTTCATATATTATGAACTAATAAATTATATATACATATTTTAAAAAATCACTGGCAATATGATATACGTATTTCTTGAATTTTGTTGGGGAAACAAGAGCCAAGAGGGGTGGAGTGGGCTCACCCATGAGTTCCCTTCCACACCATGTGCTTCCAAAACTAGAACCTTTGGTAATTGCGACTCGGCTTTTCTTTGTCCTTTTGTCGGCCCCGGTTTGGCTGTCATGCCTCCCCGCGATCAAGGACCAGGCTCCCATCCTTCACACTACTAAATATTAATGCCCCGTTGCAGTGGTTTGACCCAATAAGGTTTGATTCTCTCGTGATCAGGGTCGAGAGACATGACGCTCACCCCCAAATACAAGGGTGTGTGCGCCTTCTGATGATGTGGAAGCGGGGTTCCAATATAATCCCCAAAATTTCATTCCCAAAAATACATTTTATCCGTTTAAAAAGTATAAGATGTTTTTAATTAAATTTTAATAAAATAATTAATTTTCTCAACAAATTAATTATACTTTTTTATATTTATTCTTAAATTTTAATAAAATAATTATTTTTCTCAACATATTAATTTTACTTTTTTATATTTATTCTTATTTAATATGATGTTTCACCTTAAAATAAATATAAAATAATTTATTTAATAGGAACATTTTTATTGGCAAAAAAAAGGACATTTTTAAAAAAAGACAATTATTACACCTTAAAATATTAAAAATATCTTACATTTTTAAATATCCAATCTCTTAAAAAAATATGCTATATTTTAAATGGAGAAATTATATATTTATATATATAACATCCTAAATTCAACACACCTCTGAATCTTCTTTAGTTTTTACCCGAGATGGGATACTTTCTTTTGCTAACCACCACTCACTCCGTTTTTATTTAGAGAAAAAAATATTATATTTAATTTATATTTTAATATAAGTAAAATTTTATTTTTTAATAGACATTTATAGCAAAATTTTAAATTACTTCTCATAATTTTATCATTTATAATTATAAAAAATAATTAATGAAAGTTTGATTAACACAATTAATAAAAGATATTGTAGTTTACTTATTTTATTTTCAGACATAATTAATAAAATTAATTAATTTTTTGAATTGTGTGATACTATTTTTTTATTCTATAAATAAAAATGGAGGGAGTATTTAATTGGTTGAGTAATCGAATTCCACTTCCTTTGGATTTGATTCTGCGGTATTCCGATTGTCTCACTCTACCAGTCCATAATAATTTTCAAGAAATAATTGCAATACCTCATAAATAAATTAACATTTTTCATTAATCCGCTATGTCGTCCTAAATCTTAAGCCACGTAATTAATTGGTCGGCACCCTTCCCTTCCCTTCCATGGCTAAGACTATGTTGGCCCGAAAAAAGAAAAAAAAAACCACTCATTTGGTGTGCCGGTGGGATGACACTATATTACTTTTTTCATTCTAAAGTATAAGACAATATTAAAAAAAAATTATTATTTTAAAATATAAGACAATTTAAAAAGAATAAGATTTTATTAATAATACTTTTTTAATACTAATATTATTCTTCAAGTGAATAAAAAATTAAAATGATATTATAATGTAATAATTAGTTAAGCATGTAGGGACATTTTCAAAGTTTATAATTTTGTTTTTAAAAAATAGTTTGTAAAGTATTCTTATTATATTTTATTAATATGTGTAATCTTAAATTGTTTTATAATTCGGACAGAGGGAGTATTGTCAATCTAATTTCAAGATATTTGCGACTATAATGATAAATCATAAGGAAGCATAATGAATTTATATTCAATCATTGTAACTCTATGAATCGTGACAATTATATTCTTTCGTTCCGTGGTCATGAATGGAAATTTCCACTCGGCTTTAATAAGCCGGTCCCTAGATTGCTACATGTTTATATCATGCAGGAAATTACACTTGGTTAAAATCTAGAGGCTTGATAACCTCACCAAATATACCGAATCCCTATTGCATTGAGAAATTTTTTCTCATTCATTCTCTGTATTATACTACAACTGCACAATGAAAAAAAAATGCTTTTAAATTTTGACCACGTAACAGTACAAATTAAACATTCCCTATGTATGAAAAATAAAAATTATTAGTACTAGAAAATGTTCATCTCTTTAATTTCATGCCATTTCAAATTCTAGCCATCTTCGCCATAATTTTGCTAGGATGAAAGGCCAGAGAGTTATCACACTGGATACAGCACCAAATCTCGGCACTTAACACGTGACACCTATTGCCCTTAATGCCTTTTTAGGGCCAACAAATGCCTTTAATAATTACCAGTCTGAACATTAATTGAAGACGGAAAACAATAGCACTTATAAACAATTTTGAACGAGTAAAATTAAAAAAGGGACTTGATGACAAATACGAGAAAAACTCCGTAAAAAACAGGAAAAGTTTGCTTGCCGTTACAGCCGTGTCCTGTGGAATATACTACTGAAATAAATATGTTTACGCTGTTTTAGGTACAGAAATTATATTCTGGGCGTATCAGGTACGCATGATTTTCGACCCCCATGAAGCTTTTTATTTATACTTTCTTTGACATATATGGTAGTACAAAACTAGAAGGCTGTTCCATTCTACACATAGAAAAGTACATATTTTTTTAATCCGAAGAATTTAAGGGTGAGATATTATTTATTGCCCCCTTAATTGTTAAGGAGAAGGATGACGGATGGATAACTTTTCCGTGAAATCGCCTTCCCGCAGGCAATAACGTGGGAAAAGAGATCATAAAGTGAGTGATTGTAAAATATAACTTGAATATTAATTTTGATAAATAAAATTCATACCGATTATGGAAGGTTAAAAATAAAAATGGCATTAATGGAACAGTGACAAAGATAGTATCTATAATTTTAGAATGAAGAACGGAAGGACTGCTTTTAGAAAAAAAAAAGAAAAGAAAAAAAATAAGGGGGGGTTGTAGAAATGTTGAAAAAAACGACAAAAATAAGAATCCCAGACTCTGAGTGCTGCGATAATAATCGAACTGACAAATGTTTGATTGTTTTCTCTCTCTTAAATGGGAAGCACTGACTCATTCACAGCCTCACAGGTTTGTGTGTGAGTGAGTCTCTCGGTCACATTCACACACCCAGTCGGAAATCAGGAACGAATTTTTCTTTTTTATTGGATATGTTTTCTTTATTTAAAATTCAAAACCAACGCCTCTGAAATCTCTGACCCCTTAGTTTGATCACAAAATCTGCATGTGCTACGTCGCTGCTTACCGCGTCCCACACCTCTCTCTCTTTAATGCTCGCAAATACTAACATCTAAACGAAACTCAGTCCTATTCTGCAGTATCCTAGGCTCCCTCTTTTACTTTTAAGTTACTTCCTTCTTTTCAATCCTAATCCGCCCATTCATTTATTCCCTTCTTTTCCATTAATCTCTTCCTGTATTTATACCCACTATTGCCTCTCTTTCTTCCCACCCACACCCGCAACCCCTTTTGATCCTTCTTCTCCCAATACATTATATTTAAGCGCTCTCGCTTTGGGATTTGCCTTCGGTTCGCGTATGGCGATTCAAGCGCAGTTGTGTCCGAACAACCTCGGGTTCCCTTTTTGTGGGTCTCAGGATTTGATGACCGAGAATGGGTTAGCGCAGTCGTGTTTCAATTCCCAACAGACACACCAGCAGCAACAGGATTTGCGACAGTTGTACAATGAAAGGCAGAGGAATCAGAACGTGCTTGTCGACGCAAACCTTCTCTTCTCTAGTGATGCCAAAGCAAACAACCTTAACCTATCTTCACTGTCCATTTCGCAAGGCCTGGCTCTTCAATTCGAGAAGCAGAGCCAGGATATGGATCGCTTCATCAGATTACAGGTTAGGACCCGATATTATTACATGGGTGTATTTTTGTCTGTCTGTTTGTTTTTCTCTCCTTTTTTTTTTTTGGTCAAGCGTTTCGGATTGTGCAGGGATTTGAATGTTACTCTTATGAATGGTGCAGAATGAGAAACTGAGAATCATGCTGCAAGATCAGAGGAAGCATCAAGTGGCGACCTTACTGAAGAAAGTGGAATCCGACGCGATTTACATGCTGAGGCGGAAAGATGAAGAAATTGAACGGGCAACGAAGAAAACGCTGGAGTTAGAAGAGTTTTTAAGAAGACTGGAGGAAGAGAATCAAGCGTGGCGTAAACTGGCTCAGGAGAAAGAAGCTGTGGTGGTATCGCTGCACAACACATTGGAGCAGGTGAAAGAGAGAGCTTATCATGGTTTCAACAATGGAGTAGCAGCAGATGATGCAGGTTCGTGCTGTCCCGAAGAAGAGAACAGGACAGGTATTATTGGTGGGGAAGAGGGTGAATTAGAAGTAGAACAGAGTACGAGAAAGATGATGGTTTGTAAAAGCTGTAATTCTGGGAAGGCGTGCTTTCTGTTTCTTCCTTGCAGGCATCTGTGTTCATGCAGGGTTTGCGAGGCTTTGCTTCAGGCTTGCCCTGTTTGCAGTACGCCTAAGAAAGCTAGCATAGAGACTTTGATTTTCTAGGCTAGTTTTCCGGGAAAAGACGAAAAGTAAATACAGAATTGGAAGGAAAAGAAAAGGAAAAGGAAAAGGAGATTGCTTAGAAGTTGCTGGGATATCAGTCAGATGGATGCTTGCACATAATCCATTTCGATGAATGCACTCTTGTCACAATGCAGATTGTAGAGTTACTTTAGTCCATTTTCATTCATGACTTCACCTTTTTTTTTCTTTCTCTCCAAGGGGGGAAAAGTTCTCACGAGTTATAAAGAAAGTTATTTTTTGACCGGTTCGATGGGATCTAGGGGAGCATTTGGGACAATTACTCATTCGTTCAGTTTGAAAGTGAAAAAATTGTGATTATTTATTCATCAACAGATCTTTTCTAATTTATTTTGTTTATCTGAGTTGAATAAATGGATTATTATAGTAATTCTTTTTTAAAAAAAGATGTTTATTTATTCCTGTTATTTCTTCTACGATTATTGTATGACTACTCATTTAGTTATTATATTTTCTAGAAGTATGAATTATTGCATCTAAGATCTTATTTTTAGTTTTCTTGTGCTGCTAAATTGAGAAATGCTCCTCACTTTTTTATTGTAAGTTACAATACAGTTCATGAATCATTGACTATCACCAAAAATAGGAAAAATAAGTAACGTTGACTAGGATTTCATTTTGTAATATTATATTTTTTGTAATTATTTTATATTCTATTTTGGTAATATAATATTATTCAATAATCTTATTATTTGATTTTCTTGGCATTTAAATTAAGAAATTAGACATGGGTTCTATAATCTTATTAAACTTTTTAACTGATCAGTTCTATTCTCTGTTTTTTGTTTGGGCCACATGATCAGTTCTATAATCATAATGTTTAAATAATTGAATTTTTAATCCTGTAAAAAAAATCGAAGTATCTCTATTCATCCCAATCATAATTGGTGATAATGAGCAATTCAAGTGATCAAAATAGATTACGTAGCATTTCTTTCACAAGAGTAGGAGTTATTGTTGCCAAAAGGCGGTCTTCCGTGCCTTAACTGGGGCAAAAAATTTAACAGGTTATTCTGTGGATAAGAGGAATATCGGAAATTTGCTAATATGCCCCTTGAGCACAAGTCTTTTTTTGTTTTTTTAACAAAGAATTTAAACAGCATACCCAAATATTAGAATGAGTTTTAAAAAAGAATGAAATATAAGAATGGAAAGCAAAGATTGATAGAAATTTGGTACCTGGAAAGGGGGAAGATGGATTTGGATTCTCTTGGTGCTTTCTCTCCTCGGATTTCCGTGCCTTTCGTTTGACCATAGGCTTTAACCATATCAGCCCACTCCTCTTCCCTCTTCCGGGCTCATCAGCCCATTCCTTTGCCCCTCTTGTATGGATTTGGAGGAATAACTGCTTTTGATAGATCTCATGATCCCGCCTCAGTGATTGCGATGGCATAGAAGAATCTGGCGAGGCAAGAAAGAAACCCCTGTACAAAGCCTGAACATGATTAGAGATCGTTTTGCTTCTTAATTCTTATACCAAACTAATCTTGCAGGTCGTGGTGGTGTTTTACGTGACACTTAAGGCACAAGAGTGGGGTATTTAAGGGGTTAACTCTTGAACGGGACATGGGTTTCGAAACAAATCATTCAGGGGAGTGACTCAACTCAAAGATGCTTGTGGATTCGCTTAATGGCAGTTCAGCCTTCAGCGTACATGGAGATTATACGCTTGAGTTCCAATATATGCCTCGTCAGCAGATTATTTATTGGGAGAATTTTATCTAAGGACATGATAAAAAATATAATTTTTAGTGGGTCTCAAAAAATTTTAAAACCTCAATTCAGTCTTCAAGGATTAAATTAAAAATAAGTTGAATATAAAAAAGATGAAAATACCCTCAATTCAAATATTTAAAAAAAAAAAAAACACAAGCTACCATTGTCGGAGCACCACCGTTGGTGACCAAAGCCTCACCGATGACGGTAGCCGCTGGACTTTTGTTGCCAGAGCTCTAGCCATCAGCTAGACCATCAAGCCACTCAACCTATTCACTCATATAATGCATAAAATTATATATATATATATATATATATATAATAAACTTTGTTTTCAAACCACTTGATTATTACGTTACTTATTAATCGAGTAACTTGTTAATATCTTAATAAAACATGTCAATTACTTAACTTTTTTTTTTAACCCTATGACTTCCGCAACAAAACTAAGTTACTTGTTAATCGCGTAACTATACTGATTATATACTGATTAATACCTTAACATGATTTGTTAATTCCTTAACTTTCTTTATTAATTTCATGACTCCCGCAATAAAACTAAGTTACTTGTTAATCGTATAACTATGCTTGTTAATATCTTAATGAAACTTATCAATTACTTAACTTTTCTTGTTAAGTCTGCTACAACAGAATTATATTACTTATTAATTGCGTAACTAAACTTGTTAATTACGCAATAGTACTTATTAATTGTACAGCATGACTTATTAATTACGTAACTTTACTTGTTAATTTCATGACTCTCTCAAAATTATTTGTATACTAAATTTTATTTTCAAACCTCTTGATTATTATGATAAGATGTATACTTGTTAAAAACCTAATATAGCTTCTTATTTCTTCAATTTTAATTGCTAATTTTATACTTTTTTTTAGTGTATCTCTCTCTCTCTCTCTTTCTATATGTGCGTGCGCTTATATAATTGAGTATTTAGTTTGATGAATACTAATAAGGGAGACTTGATTGTCATCGCTTTCGTTATCTGACAAACTTAATTTTTTATGTAAATTATATGTTCATTTAATTAGTGACAATGGATAATTAACAAATATTATTGAGAAATTAATAAGTAAAGTTATGCAATTAACAAGTAATTTAGTTACATCTTCGAAACAACAGTTAAACAAGTCTTATTATGATATTAACAAGTCAAGCTACTCAATTAAAAAGTATTTTTGCATAATCAACAAATAAAGTTACATGATTAACAAGTAATGCAGTTTGATTGAAAGAATTATATATTTGACAAGTAAATTCAAGTAATTAATAAGTTTTGTTAATATGTTAACAAGTAAAGTTTATGTAATCAACAAGTAATATAATTTTATTGTGGGAGTCAAGATTTAATAATGAAAGTTAAGTAATTGACAAGTCTTGTTAAGATATTAACAAGTGTAGTTACGCAATTAACTAGTAACTTAGTTATGTTGCGGAAGTTATGGGTTTAATGAGAAAAGTTACGTAATTAACAAGTCTTATTAAGGTATTAACAAGTATAGTTACACAATTAACAAGTAACTTAGTTCTGTTGCTGGAGTCATGGGGTTAACAAGGAAAGTTAAGTAATTAATAAGTCCTGTTAAGATATTAATAAGTAAAATCAAGTAATTAACAAATAACATGATAATCAAGTGGTTTAGAAATAAAATTTATTATATATATAATTTTATGCATTATATAATTGAATGGTTCGAGTAGCTTAATGGTTTAAAATTTTTTAGTAAGTCAAGAGATCATGGGTTCTACACCCACCTTGGCCACCTTTGGAGAATTTAATTCTCCATAATTCTCCAGCTACTATCAGCGGTGGTCTAGTCGATGGCCGAAGCTTCAGCGATGAAGGTCCAATGGTTGTTGTCACCAGTGGTGATGCTCTGACGATTGTGGTTGATAGTTTTTTAAAAAATATTTGTACTGAGAGTATTTTTATTTTTTTTACATTCAACTTATTTTTAATTTAATTCTTAAAAACTAAACAGAGATTTTAAAATCTACTAGCAAATATATTTCTTCTCATGTTATTAAATGAAATTCTCCCTTATTTATTTGGCAAGAGAAGGATGGAGATGCTCCATGCTTTCGGAAGTGGTTCCTTTCCTCCTGTTTCAACGAGTACCTTGAAATTGCAATCCCTCCACAGCTGAGTTTCTTAGAGCGTGTTTGGTTTCTATTCTTGTTTTTTGTTTTTAAAAACTATTTTATAATATAGTTTTAAAAATTATTTTTCAAAACAAAATACATTAAAAATCTATTTAGTTATGTCAATTAAAAACAGTTTAAAAATAAAAAATATATTGATAGTAATAATTATAGATAGTTAGTGATTGTTATTGATGATAAAAATTAGTCAAGGTAATTATAATTCTTAATAATTAAATTTTATGTATTTTAAAAATAAGAAAAATAAAATGAAAACAACTTAAAGTTGTTTATATTTTTTTAAAAAACAAAAATTAAAAACAATTAAACAAAAAACACTTACCCAAATAAGTTTTTAATTTTTTTTGTTTTTTAAAAACAACAATACAGTTTTTAAAAGTAAAAAATAAAACAAGCCCTTAATTTGCGGCTCATCCCTTGTACTGTACCAAAAGAAAAGGAAAATTTTTTTTGCTTGGCATCCCCACTTCCAGATTTCCTTTCATTCTGCTCCATGCCCTTCACTTATTATTCCATTCACACCTTTCTCATCTCAATTTTACTTTTCAACATTCCAAACCATCACCTAATTTATTAGGGTAAGGAAGGATTTTTAGCCTTGAAGTATTTTTCCAGAAACACATAATATTTTAATATTTTTTTTGAATAATTTTACCCTTAACATTATCAAAATGAAACATTTTGGCCATTTTTATCAAATTTTTTAATGATTAGTGTTTGAAGTTAACATTAAAAATTTAATAAAAAAGGTAAAAATGCTCTGTTTTGATGTTAAGAGCAAAATTACTCTAACAAAAATGTTAGGGTGTTGGGTGCTACTTAAAAAATGCTTCAAGGATCAAAATGCTCCTTTACCCAATTTATTATGATGCTTAATTTCTGAAATTTTATCATCCTTGTTATTTGAATTTAAAGAAAGATTTTTGTCCTTAAAATATTTTTTGAAGAGCACCTACTATCTTAACGTTTTTGTTTGAGTAATTTTACCCTTAACATTATCAAAATGAAGCATTTTTGCTCAATTTTGCCTTTAACGTTATTAAAATGGGGCATTTTTTTTTGATAACATTAAAGATAAAATTACTCCAACAAAAGTTTTAGAGTGTTGGTTGCTCCTCAAAAAAATACTTCAAGAACTAAAATGTACCTTTACCTAATTTATTATAATGCTTAATTTCTAGATTTTTATCATCCTTGTTATTTGAATTTATATTTGGGGCATCCCTTTTTATATATAAATTTAATATCAATGTAAAACAAAATTTTGTTATTAACTTCTCTGTTTTTTCTGTATTTATTGTGTTTGTATATTTATACAAAAAATTTCAAATATACAAAACTCTACTAAATTTTGAGGTTATTGTATAAAATTTTTCTCATTTTTAAAAGTTTAAAATTAAATTTTTTATCTTTTTCTTTTTATCTTACCATAGATTCTCCTATCATTAATTTTTAGTTATTTTATTAATAAAAGTTATCATATCATATTAAGAAAAGACATGCAATAGATTATATGACATCTAATATCAGTTGAAATAACTTTATAAACATTTTATTCATATTTTTTTATGATTATTAACTTACATTGAATACCATATAAACTATAAGTATCTTAGTTTAATGACATGAAAATTTTTATTAGTGAGATAATTGAATAATAATAATAGGGGAGCTCATAAAAAAAATAAAATGTTAGAGAGGTTAATTTTAAATTTTTAAAGTTGAGAAATTTTTTTACAAATAACTTAAAGATCAGGGGTGTTTTGCATATTTTAATATAAAAAATTTCAATGTTTAATATGTTTAATATGACGTAAATAGTTGCAAAATAACAGATATTTTTATTATTCATATACATACTTTGAATAATATCTTTAATTCTTTACTACTCACATACATGCCCCGTTACTAAAAAAAATGTTTTAGAATATGTTATCATCAGCTTCATTTTTAGTCAATTTTATTTCTTTTATCCAGTTTAATGTAATTTTTTTTTAAAATGTAGATGAGGAAATTATTATTATTATTATTTTATTATTGCCTTGCTGGAGTAATTAATTTTCGACCGATGCAAGATTCCCCTTGTTAATCATAACCCCGACGAAACACGCTTCGCGGGTAGCGGATCCACTTCTCTTCGTCGACAAACAAGCATTCCACACTCCGTCGGACGCCGTCCACCGTTTGCAGCCCTGCGTGGTTGTTCTCGGTCCGGTGAGATTGATTTGTTCAATCTGGCTTTGAATCTATATTTCAATTGAATTTGTTCCCCGCTTCACCTGTTCCCCGCGTGGTCATTCGTGCTTTTTTTTATTATTAAAAAATCATTTTAATTTGGCTTTGAATCCGGTCGTGCAATCGTTTGAACATTGACGCTTTTGAATTTGGGAATATTTACAGATTGTTTTGTTTTTTGTACTAATTTTTCTTGACTGGTGTGTAATTGGCCATTGTACTTCTCCCCTCTCCATTTTGATCACTAACAACTTGTGTCAAAGTGTCTGGAACAAAAATTTAAAAGGTATTATGTCAACTATGCATATTTCAAAGATTTCAGTGCAGGCAGTGTAATAAATGTCCGCCTATGCATGCAGTGATATCCAACGATTTGAATTTCCTTTTAAACCTATATATTTGGTTTTTAGGTTGGTATTACAGGATGGATGATTGTCAATATAAGGCTTCTCTATATTCAGGCTTGCGTGCATGTGTCTTTGTAGATTTCGTTCTTACCTGGGGCAAATGCGTGCAGGGGGAATTTTGATCGGCATTTCTATACATTTAAGCCAGGTTTTAGTATATAAAGAAGCATTCGATGGCCAAAAAGCCTGGACCAAGACCCAGTAAATTATCAGTGTACCTTTATGTTCCTAATATCATTGGTGGGTATTTATCTTTACTGGTGTTTATTGTGTTTCTTTGCTGTCAATTTACATATTTTGGCAACTATTAGTTCAACGTGCGCGCACGCACTCACATCAGAAGCTAGTGGTAGAAGTAGGTTCTTGCAACTATAGCATTTATTGCCACATGTTGTCTTAGGAATATTGGATTCCAGTACTGTGAATGTTTAAACTGAAGGCTCTGCACTGTTCAGTTTAACAATAGTCAGAACACGATCCTGCTTTTATTAGACACCATCTGTTTGCAACTGATAATTCTATTGCAAGGAAGTTGTGCATAAACATCCAAATTCAATTAAGTTTTCCCTCTTTGTTAATTCTCCATGAGTTCACTGTTTAAAACTGACTCTGGTATTGTAGGATACATCAGGGTTCTTGTGAACTGTGCTGCCTTCTACATATGCTTCAGAAACAGAATGCTTTTCTGTATACTTTACTTTTTTAGGTGGGAAGCATTTCCATGAGTGTTTTCAAGCATCCTTCTTTATGTTCTTTAACTTTTATGGAATTAGGGCGTAATGTGGTTGAACTTGTATTTTCAGCTTTGTCTGCGATGCTGTGGATGGTTGGTGTGCTCGCAAATTTAACCAGGGTATAAATTTTTGTATTCATGTCATACCATTATCAATTTATGTTTCAAAGTCTCCTATCAAATACAATCAATGCATGATTAGTATGTTACTTCACACTGAAGAAACGTGTACTCATCTCTTTCCTCTGTGACTGCCCTTTGCAATGGATTTCATTGCATTCTTGTTATGAAGGCCAAATACAGTGTGCATGTAATCATGGTTTTTTTTTTATTTATTTTGAATGCTATTGTCAACTGATTAAGTATTGCTTTTTGTCATTGAGATCAAAGGTGCAAAAAGGCACACCTAAGGCACTTAGGCAAGGTGACAAGGGGACCCTTGTCTATCTGATGATATTCAGGCACGATCATTTCAGTGAGGATCTCACTTCCATAGCCTTTTTGTGTGTGGCAATTCCCTTTCCTGGTCTGCCCAAGTCAACTCTAGATTTTTTCTGAATGGGTGAGGACAATAAATAAATGCCAGAGCTTATCCATCAAATTTGTTTAGCTCTGGGCTTGTGAAAACCCAAATTAAGAGTCAAGAGGAGATGGTCAAAGACCATTGGGAAGAAGCCAATTTAAGTGAGATAAAAGAATATGTTGGCATATATAAATCCTATAAAAGATGAGGATATGACTTGATGACGAGTGACAACTATGGAACTGATCTGATCTAATGACTCGAATGGTAGAGTCTAGAGCTTTTTTCTGTTTATTTATGAATTTATGAATTTTAGGACATTTTCTCTTATTGTTATGAAATGCTGAACTGTGAGATCTTTTCCTGTTATAAACTTGAATCTTTATGACTCATTATTAAAGTTCATCTTGAATTGTTGAACAGTTCATAGCAGTTGCTCGTTCATATCTATAGTTTTTAGCACCCTCCCTTAAGTTTAACTGCTTGGGTTATTACACTTTATGCACCTTTCTTCACTTCAAGGTGCTAAACTCCTTTTGGTTCCTTGCTTTAGGGCACCTGCTATGTTTATATTGTTGTAAACTTGTAACATGCACGTCCTCCCACACCTGCTAAGTGCTAACATTGTTTCATGTTTACTCATCACTCTAATCATTCTGCAGTCATTGTTTCATTTATATATATATGTATATATATTTAACTTTGGTTTGTAATTAGACGGATCAAAAGCTTAATTAGGAGTGAATTCATGTCATTTATTAAATTGTATCTGTGCTATGATTTATTGCTTGATAAGTTCCTTTTTGGTGTTATGGGCTTTAGTGCATATATTTCTTTCTAGGGTGTGTTTGGTACAAAATGGAAATCAAAAAACAATGAGAATGGGCAAACTCACTCCTATAAACACGGGAAATTCTCTTTCCAAGAAAGTCACTTTGCTGTCCTCCAAACACAACCCTCATTTCAGCCCATTCTCCATGTACCAAATGCAGCCTTAAAGAATCAATGGAAGCTTCAGGCAGAAGTTGGTAAATAATGAGCAGACATATTACTACGGCACGTTTTATATTGTATTTTTACTTTCTCTTTCAGTGTCAACCTTTGGAGCTGTTCTGGACATGATAACAGACAGGTAATTCACTCACTCTCTCCATTTGGTACATTTGCACGCATCCTTGTGTGCGTTGGGGACTAGCACTATGACATTTGAGGACACAGTGACGCAACAATTATGGAATGTCCATATGTAATTTGAACTGTCATGTAGTGTCTAATGAGTGTTGAACATGGACTTGGCTTTCATTTTGAAGCGTCCTTGCTTCATACGCATCCTTGCATGTACACCTTTGTACATAAACACAAGGAGAAGTATTAATAAATAGTAATGATGCTCTAATTTTAATATTCTGTATTCCTATTTGCTCATTTGAATTATTTGTTCCTCCATTCCAGAATTAGTACGGCTTGTCTACTTGTAATTCTTTCCCAAGTATACAAGTAAGATTTTTCAAGCCTTCATGCATTTCGTCAAATATTGGTATTTTAAGCATGTATGTCTGACATACTGGTTGAATTTTTGTGAAGGCCTGGTCTGATCTTCTTGTCACTGCTTGCGTTAGACATTGCGAGCCACTGGCTTCAAATGTACAGGTAATGCATGTAAAAGAATCGATGCCATGTTTTTCCCACCCATTTGTTTTGGTCTTATTTAAGTTTCTTTTGCTGGATCTTCATGCTTCAAATGCAGCACTTTCTTGCGGGGCAAGGATAGTCATAAAGATGTAAAAGACAGCACTAGCTGGCTTTTTAGGGCATATTATGGGAATAAGATTTTTATGGCCTACTGTTGTGTCTCGTGTGAGGTAATTGTCTCCCTGTCTGCTTGATCACTTTTCATAAATAAAACTTTTTAAATTAAAAATTTCTCATTTTACAGGTCCTTTACTTAATCCTATTTCTTCTGCCAGAGAATCAAACGGACAAATTGGTGGATGTAAGTTCTATATTTGGCGTGTTGTTTCAATCGTTTCAGATGTTTAAGATGTCTAGAAGGTTCCCCAAGATCATATTATTAGTTTCTCAATTGTCAATCTTTTGCAGGTGTTAGCGAGTAGTTTGCAAAAGATATCAATAGTTTCTTTCCTGGTTGGTACAAGTTTATTTGGATGGGCGATCAAGCAAGTTGTAAATATTATTCAGGTTCGTACCTAAAAAGTTCATCCTTTTTGTATGACATAAGAGAAGATCTAGCGCCTCATAAACTCAACAATAGGCAATAGTCATCTTTAGTTGTCCGTCAAAACTGCTGGTGGCCATGGTTCGTTTGCACGAAAGCTTTGAAATGCCAATTTACTTGTGAGTCTACTTACTTTGCACTGGACACATAGCCGAACAACTACGTTGTTACTTGGTGCTTCAGCTTATTCCTGCCTGGCATGGTCTTTATGGTGCAACAAAGTACTATTATGACTAACCATTGATTCAAAAAGCTTTCTTCTTCACATTCCTGGCTCAAGTAATTAGTTGATTTTGGTTATTTTATTTATTGCATTTTGTATTCGGCCATGACCGCACTAGCTGCTGTTTTTGTGACTGTTTACTTGCTTACATTTTTTTTTTTTTATATATTTTGCTTGTTCATGCATTCAAGCCCTCCAATATAATCTACACTAAAACCTTTGTGGTGGTTCCAGATGAAGACAGCAGCAGACGTGTGTGTGCTTCATGACATTGAGATAAAAGAAAAGCGCTAATGCTTCTTCCATGACTATGAATCAATAGAACCGAGGTCCCCCACCTCTTTTTGTCATTTCAATTTTCCCTTTTCTGAGTGCCACAATAGTTCGAATTTATTTGTCCGGGCTTTGATGCGGGAATTATTCGATATCTGGCATTTTCTATGAAGATATTTGTTTTATGCCATGTCTTGGCCGCCCCTATTAAGCCTAGAAGCTCCTCTGCACCTTCTAAGGCGAAGGGATTTCAAAGTAACTGGAACTGGTTTAGTTTCAACCATTTGTAACGAGAGAAACAACATTGTTAAATTGGTGTACTCTGCTTTATATGTGCTTGTAAATTCTTCGGAGAACTAGGCTGTGTTCGGGTAAGTTGTGATGGCTATGCACGTCACGACTAGTTTGATTAGACTGAACTAAGTACTAACAAATTAGTCTTCGAGTTTGCACGTCTATTTAGATGTAATTTATGAACCTTTGGAGTGCACGATCAGAGTTAATTTGGTGGAAATCTGCCTTTCTGAGAATTATTTTAATGGCCGGCATTAAAATGTCGATGTTGTTAATTGATATAATCGTCACACTAAGGTGTACATAATTTTGATTTTCAAGCTTTTTTTTTAATTTTAACTCTATACATATATAAAAGAATTGTCATCCACCAAAAAAAAAAGGGAGAAAGAAAAGAAAAGAAAAGAAAAAAACAGCCTTAGGAAGAGTTGATACGACATGAAATCTTGAAAGGTAGTGTTTGGTTCAGCAGGGGAAGGGAGGCGAGAAATTTTAGTACAAAGGTGGGAAGGGGAGGTGAGAGGCTTAATCGAGAGAAGAGGAAGGGGATGTATCTTATGGTTTAAGGAGATGAAAAGTGAGGGATATTTGTTATTTCTCCAAATCTCCCATATTTAAGGGGAGGATAGGTTGGAAGGAAAAGGAAAATTCATTAATTTTTTGTTGGCTTTAATCTTCTCTATATTTTTCCCCAATCAAAGTATTTCCCTTTCATTTTGTCTATCAAAATGAGGGGGGGGGGTAAAATTTTTTCCCGCTTTCAAATTCTTCCAGCCAATGTAGTTTGAGAATTTTTTTTTTTTGGCTAGTGAGAAGTTATTTTAAATTACATCTAAAGCAACATTCCATTTCATTTACCTAGTTAATTGTTAATGGTACAAAAACTTAAAATATGTATCTGCATAATATAAATAGAAAGTCATACTATTTATAAGTTATTATATATAACGCATGACTTACTTTAAATTCCGCAAAATACGATCTTACAATTTAGTAAATAGTTCTCTCTCCTTCATATTTGAAAGTTGTATTTTAGAAGTTTTTTATGTTTCTACTTATAACTTATTTTGCAATAGTTATAAAATATTTTCTATTTTTTGCGAGTATCCTTAATACGGGTAGTGTTGAATAAATTAAAATATGAAAAAGGAACTGAGAGATGATTAAAATTGGGCATAATTTATTGCAGTGAATATAAGGTATTTTTATTTTTAACATGTTAATTCCAAAAACATTAATTAATGTTAACAACTTTATCAATATTTATAAATTAGTTAAATGTAAATTGTAAGTAGGAACAGATAGAGTATTATCATCAATATTCATTATAATCAAAATATAATATTATCAACATCAAAATATAATAGAGTATAAAATTTATAAGAACACAATTCACAAATCATGAACAATGCGACTCAAAAGCATAGTACAAAACCCACACAATCTGGTACTGTGTCTGCCTGTTTGTATAAATAATTATGTAATATTCTTGACGAAAAAAATAATTATGTACTAGTGAGATGTTGCCGGGAATATAAGAATGAAAAAGCGTAAAATCCGAATACCTTTGTCGGAATCAAGAGGTACCATGTCAATGAAGAGAATCAATACCCACCAGCACCAGGAAGCATAAAGCAGCGCTTCCCGTGTTTTAAATCACAAATTTTGGGGCCAGTCTCCGAAAACTACTGGTTGTATGGCCTTCATGCAGAGTCTCGGCTGCATCAGCCCCACTTATAGGACGCCTCTAGTCGCAAGTAAACCTCCAGACCATTTTAGATCCTGTCATTACTACAACTTCTACAAGGTTCAACTGACTCATCTACATAATACCCAAATAAGAATAAAACATAACCCAAATACTGTATGATTGAAATAGAGGTACATACTATCATAAGCGAATTCCATGGCATGATAGACCGATTTGAAATCTACCGAAAGAAGGAGAGAAAAAGGAATTCCGAGCTGCAGAATCACTATAAACCTAAATCATTATACACATTCAAAGGCAATAAAAGACAATCAAGTAGCTCTTCTGAGTTCTGAGGCCCGTGTCTCTAGTTTGTCACCAAAATGATGATTCTGAAAACGAAGTTCCTTGGCAGTTGAAAATGAACTAATATAGGCTAAACCCAAAAAACTGGCTTATAATGATGGCCAATCCAAGGCCTATTGCAACAAGGGAAGAAGCCCAAGTGAGTTTCTCAGTTATTCTAGGCACTCTATCCTTCAATGCCTGGCTACATGAACCTATAAATACAGTATAGCTTCCCATTGCAACGACTGTCCCAAGCAAGAACATGATAAGAAATGCAGCACCAGCCAAGCGAGAAGGCAAAGCTAGGGCAGGCAACACCATCATCAATGCATCTGGTTGCAGGCCATGAACTATTCCCGTGGCAAAAGTAGCAAAGCCAACCTTCTTCTTTCCTACAGTTGGATTATCAAGCGATTCGTAGACATTGACATCACATTCGCCATTTTCTAAGGCAACACAAGGTGTAGGAACTTCTGAAGCTTCCCTAATTCCCATAGCACCAATTACAAGCAGAGTAAGTCCAACCACTCGAGTGCCCCAAGTTCGAAGAACCTCAATGTGAAGCTGATCCTTCAGGAGAAGAAAGATTAAGCCAAATATAACCTGACCAGCATCATGGCCACAACCCCAAAGGGCTCCAACAGCAGCACTCTCCATTCGGGTACGGCCAATCGACAAAGGAGCCAAAGCTGCAAGGTGGTCAGGCCCTGATAGTGTGTGCAAGCAACCGGCAAAGAAACCAGTCCAAGCGCTACTCAGTAGCTCAGTGCGGATTAGTTTTCCACCAACTGCAGCTGCAGCAGGTCCACGTGCCTTGGTGGCAGTTTGAAAGGTTGCATAAGCTGCTGGTGCAACAGCTGATTGGATTAAGATCATGGCAAGAGCAGCCAGTATTGCAAAAGTTCGAGCTGTTATCACCTGAGAAAAAATATCAAAGGACTTTTAAATGTCTGAGAAAACGCACTTATCTGTACATTAACCCTAAGATATATAATACCCCGTGGCCCAAAGGTTACGATGGTTCAATAATATCAACAAAAGGGGTACAGCAGTGTCAAAACAAGATATCAACACAGTAGCCTTTCAGAGAAAGTTTCATATATACCCTAGTCTACTCCAGTCATCCATAATTCAATGTGCATTTCAATAATAAACCCTGATTTATTAACATCAACATACAAATCAGGGGAGAAGGAAATTAAGTTTAGAAGCTTTTTTTTCATGTATAACTTTGCCAATCACATAACCTTGTCCTAAATTAGGGTCGTAAATAAGATATTAGTCAGGTTATAATAGATTTTATTTTATGCCAGTCCATCAAAGCCTATTTCCAGTACGCAATACATCATAAAAAACACTTGACTAGTTGCTATAATATCCTAGCCTTCAAAGTAAATTAATTAAACGGATTCTGCATAGATCAACGACAACAAGATATTATGCGCCTTCCAACAAGAAAAACAACGAAGCTGAATGCTGCAAAGCGCCGAGTGGAGGTGAAGTACTAAATTCAGAAAAAAAGTGTTACAATGCAAAAATTAATTGAACGTACCAAGTAAAGTTTCCTTCTGATTGTTTCTAACATTAAACATCATCTCACAAGGAAAAAGCAACCAGAAAACAGAAAAAAAAGTAATCCTTTCTATGACAAAACAATCGGCTTGGCAAGAGTATGACGCCAAAACACAAGAACATCTGAAGAAAGGGACTAAAGGCAAATGCAAGCAAGATCTCAGAACATTTTAGACACACAACAAAAATTCAGTCTTTTAAAATGACGATAACACGAATTACAAACCTTCCGTCGTCCTAAAGCCTTATCTGTGATCTGATTCATAAAGCTGAATTCGGGTGCCGACCTTTCTGAAGAGCCTCCTCCACAAGGAGAAGGGGATTGCAACTTAATCCGCGGTGGTGAAGAAGTAAAGGAAGGAGCAGTGGACGAAAATGAAGATGGATTTTCATGTTTTAAAGAAATTGAGGTGGCCCGCCTAACAATGGAAGGCGCTGATGTGGGGAAAATGAATCTAGCAGAATCGAATCGAATCTTCCGATTGAGAAAAGAAGTTGAAGGGCTGAGATTAATTTTGGGAGAAGTGGAAGAAGACGAGGATAGAAGCCTCTCCATGGCGTCTCCAGGCAAAAGTTGGAAAGAGGTGAAGATTGAAATAGGGAGGAGAGGAGGAAGAGGACCTCTTGGATAAAGCTCCAGTCCGGAAAGTCATCAAAAGTTAAGTCTTTAAATTATTTCTTGGCCAAACACCGAATAAAAAATTCCAAGGTTTTGCTTATTTAAAACTACAAATCCCAACAGAAAAACCCCCTTAGCCGAAAAACACGCTGTAAAAATATACAGCGAACGCTACCAGTGTAAATATATATATATATAGAGAGAGAGAGAGAGAAAATTTCTTAATTAACTTCGAATTCATGAAAACGCGTTTCAGAATCAAGTCTATTGTGAAAAGAGATTTCTTTTTCTAACTCTTCTTCTTCTTCTTTTAAGGTCACAGTAAAACAGCTCCTGTTTTGTTCTGTGATTGTGTTATATATACATAATTTTCGAGGAAGCAAAGTTTTTTCGTGGTAAACAATTCGACAATATTCACAAAATTGAATGAATGCCAGAAAAAAGTATGTGAGATTTGATGCCGACCACGGCCATGAGTGGTGTGGGCTGGAGTGATTTGACTGGCCTAATAATAATAAATTTCCGGCTTTTGATAAGAGCTCAGAGTCCACCAACCAAAGCGTAATTACGATCAACGGTATTACCATGTCCAAAATAGGAGTGAAGAGGGTTTATGATTTTTGTTTTGTTTTGTTTTGTTGTTGACAGAGGAGTGAACACAAGTTGCTTGTTAATTTAATGACACTAAGACCTATTCAAATTTTGGAGGCTTTAGTTTTCAGTTGGGAGTAAAGATCCTTATGGGTTTAAAGAGACGTGCAATTTGCAATAATGGGGTGAAAGGTCATCCAGGCGCAACCTCTTTTTCAAACAATAGTAACGCATTTTCATCCAGATATGACTGGTTGGGATGGCAGGCCATGTGTATGATTCACTGCCTAAGAATTTTTTTTCTTTTTCTTTTTGAACTCAGAATAATGACAAATAAGATATGTTTGGTTTGTAAGATATGAATATGTGATTTTTTAAAAAAAAAAAGCTTAAAAACCAAATAAACCAAGTAACTGCATGTTCTAAATATGGATAAGTAATGTTTTTAGAATTAAATCGGACATTAAATTGAAAATACTAGCAATTCATGATTCATATGAAACTGATTGTCAAATTGATAATATAATAATTAAATTAAAAAATTTTATATAATAATATGAATGTAAGAAATAAAAATAAAATTGTTATATAACTTGAAAATAAAGTTAAATATTTCAAGTTAATTATCAATTAATAAATTTTATGATATAACATAACATCAAAATGATTCAGTACTGACACTCACAAGAAATATTTCTATACTAATTTGGATTTTTCTGACTTGAATATTTGTTCAAATTAAGACATGTAAAAAAATAATAATGATTTATAAAAAGAAGTGTCCCAAAAAAATGAAAACAAATGCATTATTTTGATATAGGGTTAAAATTGAAACAAAATGCATAAACCAAATTCGTTTTTCCCTTTTCAAAGTGTTTGAAAAGTGAGAAAGGTTTTTTTAATATTAAAATTGGAACAAAGGTAAAACAAAATTGAGATGTCCGGTTTTCACAAAATCGCTCCAATTTGTGGGTCTTTAATGATTCATATTTAATGACTGATTTAAAGTAGCCAAATCTAGTTCAAAAGCTAAAATAGTTTTGCGATTTAAATTGGGCCAAAACAAAAACTGGTTGGCAATCTAATCGGTCATATTGTTCGATTTGGTTCAGTTTTGAAATTATTGTGAGTGAGGCTGTCTCTAAAGCCAATAATTCGGATAGATCGGGCTTAAAATATCATACCATATAAAAAAGCTTATATAGCTAAGCCCAACCATGCCCAAATATTTAAATTGTTAAATATTATATTATTTTATTTTTTTATCTAATTTTAATTTTAATTTTAAAAATTAATATTTTCAATTTGTATATTATTTTATTAATAAAAAAATTTAGGTATTCAAATCAAGCAAGCCCATCCGGATTCAGGGCTTGGCACGGATTTCTTCGAGTGGCCAAATAAGCTTGAAATAAAAAAATCTTTTAAACTTTTAAGCTTGACCCTAAAATTTTTTAGAACTATTCATACTAGTTTGTCAGATTTAATTCAAATTACTGCCTCTAACTCCCTCATAGCAAATATGACATAGTATTAGAATTTAATTATATTCCTTTTCTTTTTTACTTCCTCGTTCTTCTTGTTTTTCTTTTCCTTTTTGTTGTTGTTGTTGTTGCTGCACTTTTTGAAAAAAAAAAAACAAACAAACAAGGCATTTTAAACATGTTGATAATAATCTCATAGCAGGGTAGCAATTTTATGTACTAGATCTGGGTGATTCATTGTAATTTTGAAAGATTGGGACAGCGTGACTTTCTTAGCATCAGCATCACCTTGTATAAATCATTTAGGAGTCAAAATAAAAGCGATTGGTAAACGGTGGATCCTGGGTCCATGGGAACATAAAATATAAAATAACTAAAATTAAAATTAAAATACTATAAAAATAATATACAATTATATCATCAAAAAATAATAATATAAATTAAAATTTAATAGGTTAAAAACTTAAAATTTATCAAATTTTTAAAAGTTGAATGCATATTTATAAAAGTAGGAGTATTTGCCCATTCTCAACTCTATTTATAGAGGCGGATTCAAGTGTATGGTGCCTTGAATCCTTTTAATATGTACTCCATATATGAGAATGTGTTTTCTGGGAAGCAAATATGAGAAGTTTTAATCACCTATGCCACCATGCTATTTTCCCCCCCAGCAGCTCCTTTTACATATTTCACATATAATTTAATATTAGGCAAGTAGCATATTACTTGATATTTTATTTATTCACTATTAACATACTTAATAAAATAATAGATATTGTTAGTTCATGAAAAAGTTGTACCTTTTGTTTTTAAATGTAAGACATCTTAAACAAAAATTTTCAGCACCCAATAAATTAGTTATCTATTTTCAAATTATTACTATCTTTTTATATTTATTCTTATTTAATAGGATAGTTCACTTAAAAGTAAATATAAAATAATTTATTTATTAAGAGTATTTTTTATAAAAAAATACATTAACTACATTTTAAAATATTAAAAATATTTTATATTTTTTAACATCTAATGCTTCAAAAAAATGTGTTATATTTTTGACTGAAAGTGTATTATTTCTTTCTTAATTTTGCCCCCCACCCCTTTTCAAGCTCTGGTTTAGCCCCCATGATAATTTACATCCATCACAGTTAAAAAGTTACTCCCTCTATTAAAAAATATAAGACATTTTTAATAGAATTTTATCCCAATAAAGTAATTACCTACTTTCAAACTAACCTAATCTTTTTAAATTTATCTCTATTAAACATCCTACAATAAATATAAAGGCATTGATTAACAGGAGAATTTTAAAAAAAAAAGCAATAATTACACCTCAAAAAATTAAAAATGCCTTACTTTTTTAACATTCAACTCCTCAAAAAATACTTTATATTTTTGAATAGAGGGAGTATATATTTATGTTATAACTTAGAATTTTAAAAAATCTCTATTAATCATTTATATAAAGATAGCACATAGGAGAATGATAGTTAAGTCTCAAGGAGATAAATTAATTTAAGTCCCAATTAATTTCAAATGCCAACAAAGTCTCTTGATTCTTCAATGTAACTAATATGTCTAATAACATCAAAGATTTACAAGTTCAATTTTCAATTTTGTAATTTCATTGTGATCTATTTGCAACTTATTTTTTAAATTTTAATAAGATTGAAGAATAAACAATAGGTAACACACTCAATATTTTTCATAATTAAAAATGAACATTTGTATTTCTTGTTAAAATTTAAAAAATAAGTTACAAATGAATCATAATAAAGTCACAAAATTAAAAATCAAACTTGTAAATCCCTTAATCTTTTGGACTCAATACTTTTTAACATTAAAAATCAACATTATATTTTTTGTTAAAATTAAAAAAATAAGTTGCAAATGTATTAAAAAAAAATTGTGAAATTAAGATTCAGACTTACAAATTTTTAAAACTATTAAACTTAATACTTTTCAATATTAAGGATAAATATTTATATTTTTTTATTAAAATTTAAAAAAATAAATTGTAAATATATTATAATAAAGTTATAGAAACAAAAGTCAAAGTTATTAAACTTATTATCATTAAAAAATTAAAAAACTTTGTAGACATTTTTAAAATCAACAGTAATTTAATTTAAATTAATTAATTTTTTTGAGATTTTATTATCATGTCCCTCTTTTTTAGAGGTTACACTTGTATAATGTGCTTGATTGCGTGGAGCTGGAGGGATTTAATGAACGTAAACTGATTCGGACTGAACACTTGTAGGACCCCGTGACAAAAAAAGAGCGCTAATCTATGTATGGATAATGTGTTTTTTATATAGGAAAGTGAAAAATTAAAAAAGAAGAAAGAATGGGGTTTACGAAGATATGATGATTGGGGGAGGTGTTGTGTGGTTACAGGGCCACGTGTAATTTTGTGGGGCCTTTGGTTTTGGACGAAGGCATGAGTGGAGATAGAGAGGACGCACCCACCCCACCACCCCACATGCAGAAGGCTTGCACTTTCGTGCGTCTGCCACACGCTTTCTGCCCAGTTCTGATATTTTCCCCAGTCACCATCACATTTCATTTAACCACTTCCTTCTTATTCTCTTATTTTTTGCCCTCAACACTCCAAATCTAGAATCTCAACAATTACAGCCTTAAAGATGAGAAGAAAACACAACCACGCAGATCAAAATTTTACAATGAGATAACTTAGACGATTTTTCAAAATAAATTTAATTCACATATCTTTCTTTAAAAAACATGTTTAGTATTTTAATTGTGATTTTCTTTCACGTTGGTTGATAGTGTTCATCTTTGAATAACAAATTACTAAGCATATCAAAAATGATAAATCTTAATTGATAACAAAAGAATTTTGAGCTCCCTTACCACAATTTACTCAGATGTAAATGATATGCAAAACTTGATAGAACAAATGTTTTTAATTATTACTGAAATGTGAAAAGATTATAAGTCTAAATTGAAAATAAAACTAATTGATAAACCTAAAAGT